TAGGAGGATATGTTAGGAGGTAACAATCAGTAAAATTGTCCATTTGTATTGTTAGAGGTGTGTGAACCAGAGAAACTACATCTTGACTAGGAGCCAGGTAAAATGAGGCTGAAACCCACCGGGCTGCATTCCCAGACAGTTAGGCACTCTAAGTCACAGAATGAGATAGGAGGTTGGCACAAGATACAGGTCATAAAGACCTTGCTGATAAACGATTCTGCAGTAAGGAAACTGGCTAAAACTCCCCCAAACCAGGATGATGACCTCTGGTCATCCTCACTGCTAAATTTCTGCCAGCACCATGACAGTTTACAAATGCCATGGTAACATCAGGAAGTTACCCTATATGCTCTAAAACGGGGAGGCATGAACAATTCACCCCTGTTTAGCATATCATCAAGAAATAATCATAAAAATTGGCAAACAGTGGCCCTCAGGGCTGCTCTGTCTATGGAGTAGGCATTCTTTTATTCTTTCACTTTCTTAATAAACTTGCCCCCACTTTACGGACTCACCTTGAATTCCTTCTTCTGTGAGATCCAAGAACCCTCTCTTGGGGTCTGGATCGGGACCCCTTTCCTATAACAGTATTGCAGCTCAAAACAAAACAAAACAATCCCCCCCCAACACAAAACTCCAAACCATGTGGCTTCACTGGTGACTCGTAGCAAATGTTTAAAGAACTAGCTAATCTTTTACAAACTCTTCCAAAATATAAAAGGAATATTCCAGGTCACGAGGCCAGTATTACACCGATACCGAATCCAAACACAAATGTATCAGAAGAAAATAAAACTACAGACCAAATTTAAATTAAGATCTTTTGATTGCTAAATTTGGAACTGAGTGATAAGTATTTTTAAAGACACTCCCAAATGGCTATGGAGACTTAGATGCTCAGGTGATGCCTTAAAACAAACAAAAACAAAAACACCCAATGTGTAGTTCACCCAGCTGGGCCTGGCAATGTTAAGCAGCTTTTCCTTTAACTTCCCCCGACTTCCTCCGCCTTTGATGAAGTCTGAAAAGTTATTCCACAGCAAAAGGAAATGCTTCAAACTCTAGTCACATCCTTGAAAAGTTTAACTCTGATTACCCAAACAAAAGGCACCCACAGCCTTTTAGCATGAGTGACAGCTATACAAGTTATATCCTCAATCTACTTCCCTTTTTAGATATGAAAGACAACCTAGCTTATTCTCCCAAACCCCACTCCTCTCAGTCAGATATAAGGCTCCTTTTGGACTTTCCTAGCAGCAAAAACAAACATTACTACCAGCAGCATACACAGAATCACAGTAACCTGATTATCACATTAGAGATTCTGCATCAGTAGAATTAGACTTTAAGCTTAGGAATCTTGTATTATTTTCAAAATGACTTTGTCAACGTTCTGATGACCGGCCAAGTTTGGCAAACGCCAATCCAATAAAATGAGTCAAAGACAGAGACTTCCATTTCTAGTTTCCCTAGAGCCAACTACTTCTCATCTGAGTATGTAAAATCAGCTGATCTCAATTTCCTGGCTATGAAATAGTAGTTGTGATTCAACCCTCTCCATAGCATCAAGTGACATTCAGCATAATAATGTCTCTTAAATCACACTTGGTACTCCCTATCAGATACTACATTTGCAGGATTAGGACAGGGTAGTGTCAACAAATGCCATGGCAATGTAAGCAAAGATCTGTCAACATCATAATATTATCAGCATATAAAATTACCCACTCCTCTACCCTTCACCCAAACTTACAAAGCCCACACGAGTATCAGTGTGCAAAAAGCTCCAATACACTAAACTCTTGGTCTGTTTTTAGGCCTCTGGCTTCTCAGAATTGAAAACGTCTCTCAGCCCCTCACTGGCTGCCTCACTTCAGGAATCTTCTGAAGGCTATGGTTCTATCCAGTTGTTGTTACTTAGTAAGCACTTAAAGGGAGATCAATCACAATTAGAAAAACAGATGTAATTATGCTTTAATCAACAAATATATGGGAGCCTACTACATACAAGGCAACTTCCTAGACAGCAACAGTATAAAAACAGGCAGAAACCTTGTCAATTTCCTCAGCAAACTAGGTGGGGGTAAGACAAACATTTTAAACGTGAGTTTGTGTTACAATTACTTTGAACAACTTTATGTTCATAATCGCATTATTTCTAATAGCCACACTGGAAAAAAACAGTATGTCTATCAAGTCATGAACAGATAAAGTGTAAATAATTCATAGGTAATCAACTCATGAACGGATAAATAAAATGTGGTAAGGTGGAAATAATCCATGGGTCATCAACTCATGAGTATAAAATGTGGTATGACCATACAACAGAATATTATTCAGCAATAAAAAGAAATGAAGCGCTGATGCTACAAATTGGATAAACTAAGCTAAAAGAAGCCAGTCACAAAGGACCATACATTGCATAATTCCATTTATATGAAATGTTCAGAATAGACAAACTCATAGACAAAGCAGGAGTCTGATGGTTGCCCAGGGCTGGGGGAGTTTGAGGGAAATGAGCTCCTCTTGGGGTGATGAAAATGTTCAAACGCTGACTATGGTGATGACTGCATAATTCTATCAACATACTCAAGACCATTCATACTGAATTGTATGATATGAGAATTATGTGTCAATTAAGCTGTCATAAAAAAAACCTCATGACATTATCTATTAAAGCTTCACATATAGCCAGGCATGGTGGCTCATGCTTGTAATCCCAGCACTTTGGGATGCTGAGGTGGGCGGATCATGAGATCAAGAGATTGAGACCATCCTGGTCAACATGGTGAAACCCCATCTCTACTAAAAAAAATACAAAAATTAGCTGGGCGTGGTGGTGTGCACCTGTAGTCCCAGCTACTGGGGAGACTGAGGCAGGAGAATTGCTTGAACCCAGGAGGCAGAGGTTGTGGTGAGCCAAGATTTCGCCATTGTACTCTAGCCTCGGCAACAAGAGTGAAACTCTGTCTCAAAAAAAAAAAAAAAAGCTTCATATACAGGTATTCTCTGTCGCCATAACTCCTCTCCAAAATGTATACCTAACAGAAATGCACATATATATTTTTTAACCAAAAGGCCATGTGTGGTGGCTTACACCTGTAATTCCCAACACTTTGGGATGCTGAGGCATGCAGATCATTTGAGGTCAGGAGTTTGAGACCAACCTGGCCAACATGATGAAACCCCATCTCTACTAAATATTAAAAAAAAAAAAAAAAAAAAAAAAAAATTTAGCCAGGCATGGTGGCTCTCACCTGTAATCCTAGGTACTGAGGAGGTTGAGGCAGGAGAATCGCTTCAACCTGGGAGGTGGAGGTTGCAGTGAGCAGAGATCACGCCACTGCACTCCAGCCTGGGTGACAGAGCAAGACTCTGTCTCAGAAAAAAGAAGCACTATTTACAACAATCTGAAGAAGAAAAAAAAAAAAACTTCACCAATAATATATGACCATACAATAAAGTAGTACACAACAATGAGAATGAACAAAGGATGGCTCCATGCAACCACATGGATACATACCATTAACATTATTTAGGGCAACGGAAGTTGGACACAAAGGAGCACATAAGGTATGATCCCATTTAAATATAGCTCGAAAGTGAACAGAAATCAACTATATTTTTTTTCTTTTTTGTGAGACAGGGTCTCACTCTGTAGCCCAAGCTGGAGTGTAGTGGCGCAATCTTGGCTCACTGTAACCTCCACCTCTGGGGCTCGAGTGATTCTCCTGCCTTAGCCTCCAAGTAGCTGGGACTATAGTCTCATCCCACCACACTCGACTAATTTTTTGTATTTTAGTAGACACAGGGTTTCACCATGTTACGCAGGGTGGTCTCAAACACCTGAGCTCAGGCAATCCACCCGCCTCAGCCTCCCAAAGTGCTGGAATTAGAGCCACCATGTCCACCCCTGTGGTGTTATTAATAGAAATCAGTATAGTGGTTACTACCAAATGGACGGTGGCTAAGGGTGAAAGGGGATATGAGGAAGGTCTCTGTGGTTATGGTAATGGGTTCTACAATCTGAATGCCAAATACACAGGTGTGCCTCCTTTTGAAAATCTGTGAAATTGCATACCCATATCTTTCTTTCTTTTTTTTTTTAGACAGAGTCTTGCTCTGTCCCCCAGGCTGGAATGCAGTGGTGCAATCTTGGCTCACTGCAACCTCCACTTCTCAGGCCCAAGTAATTCCTGTGCCTCAGCCTACCGAGTAGCTGGGATTAGAGGCATGCACCACCATGCCCAGCTCATTTTTGCATTTCTTTTTTTTAAAGTAGAGATGGGGTTTCACCATGTTGGCCAGGCTGGTCTTGAACTCTTGGCCTCAAGTGATCTGCCTGCCTTGGGCTTTCAAAGTGCTGGAAATACAAGCGTGAGCCACTGCGCCGAGCCCTGGATCTTATATTTCAATAAAGAATTTACTGAAAGAGACACAAGAGACTTGTCAACAACAAATAAAGAACAAAAATCCAAATGTGGCCGGGGGCGGTGGCTCAAGCCTGTAATCCCAGCACTTTGGGAGGCCAAGGCGGGTGGGATCACGAGGTCAAGAGATCGAGACCATCCTGCTCAACATGGTGAAACCCTGTCTCTACTAAAAATACAAAAAATTAGCTGGACATGGTGGCGCATGCCCGTAATCCCAGCTACTCAGGAGGCTGAGGCAGGAGAATTGCCTGAACCCGGGAGGCGGAGGTTGCGGTGAGCCGAGATGGCACCATTGCACTCCAGCCTGGGTAACAAGAGCGAAACTGCATCTCAAAAAAAAAAAAAAAAAAAAAAAAAAAAAAAAAAAATCCAAATGTGTAGAACAGCATGAGCTCCTGGAAGGTGGAGTCTATGTCTCTCACATTTTTGTGTCCCTCCAATGCTGTGAATCTAAGGGTGCCCAGAAAGTGTTCACTGAATGAATCAAGGAAGATATTCCTACCTCTAACTTTGTTCTAGGAGGACTGAGGGTCTCTGAATAGAAAGAACACCTCCAATGCCACTCACCTGGGCTTTCTCTCTCTTCGCTCTAATCAGTGTATCTTGGTAATGCTGGGCTACTTCTACAAGGACTCCCTCAAGTTTAGCTGCAGGAATCTGCAGGGCTTGCAGAGTCTTTTGGGCATCACCTTCATCCAGGGCTTCATTAATTAAACCAATGGCTAAAATCCCTAAATATAAAAAGATAGAAAGTTTTTTTTTTAAATTAAGGAAGTATATAAACAATCGTGAAACATGCTAACTAATCATAACTAATCATAAATCTACCTAAGAGTAACCATGATTGCAACTTACTATTAAGCAGCACTGTTTTGTTTTGTTTTTTAAATATTAGTTTGCTTCATCTGAACTTGTTTGTATTCATATTCCTATTGAAAGCTCAAGTCCTTTTGTTTCATTTTTAACTGCTCTAACTTAAAAGTGACGAGGAGTTTGATGAAACTGGTCTTATCGTGTAGCTTTCAGGTGCATTCGAATGTATAATCAAAACCATTCTTGAGTCACAAAGAATCATAAAAAGGTTCAAGAGTTCTTAAAAAGTCAACTAATTCAACTCTTTTATAGAAGAAATATCAAGGCTTAGCAACCTCTTCTCCAAGATTATACAGCAAACAAATGGCAGAAGAAAGATCCAAGCCCGGGGCTCCCTAATGCAAGGCAAGGCTCTTCCCACAAGTCAGCTGAACATTTTTCACAGGAAACAAATTAAAATGAGAAACGTTCACTCCCCAGTTATCTTAGGCAGCCATGCTGCTTTTGTAAGGACTCTGCTATATAATAAAAAGTCTGGCTGGTCTTTGTCTTTGGGGAAGACTCTAAGACCCTTGGAATATCCTGAGTGATAGGATGTCTCTGTTATTCATGGTGGGCCCCTTTGCTCACACCTGAATTTATGCCAACCAATGACTTCTGGTTGGCCTCTTTTTTTGTTGTTGTTTTTTTTGAGATGGAGTTTTGCTCTTTGTTGCCCAGGCTGGCGTGCAGTGGCATGACCTTGGCTCACTGCAACCTCTGCCTCCTGGGTTCAAGCGATTCTTCTGTCTCAGCTTCTTGAGTGGCATTACAGGCACCCACCACGATGCCCAGCTAATTTTTGTATTTTTAATAGAGACAGAGTTTCATCATGTTGGCCAGGCTGGTCTCGAACTCCTGACCTCAGATGATCTACCTGCCTCGGCCTCCCAAAGTGCTGGGAATATAGGCATGAGCCATCACACCCAGCCCTGGTTGGCCTCTTGACAGTTTCAGGATAAAGGCTGGCCATGCTGGAAAGATCAACCATTGAGGTTTAGAGTCATGTGATACCAGCCTGGCCTCCCAACATCCAGGAAGCAGAGGCCAAATGAAAATTGAGTTTAATCACAAAGCCAGTCCTATCAATCACGCATATGCAATGAAGCCCAAATAAAAACTCTGAACACTCAAATCTCAGGTGAGTTTCCCCGACTGGTGATACACATCAATATGCCAGGAGAGTGACACATCCTGAGAACACAGAAGCTTCATGTTGGGTACTCTCACAGACATTGCTTGATGATTCTCTTCTTTCAGCCGATCTTGATTGATTTATATATTTTATAATAAAATTGTAATCCTAAGTCTAGCACCTTCTTGAATTCTGTGAGTCATTCTAGCAAATTATTAAACCTGAAAGGGTAGAAGGATTCTCCAAATTTGCAGCCAGTTGTTTAGAAGCACAGTGGCCTGGGAACCCTGCAGCTTTTAGCTGTTGTCTGAAGCAAGAGGAGTTTTGTGGAGGACCACGCCTTCAACCTGTGCAACTGGACTTAATTCCATGTAGTGTCAGAACTACCTGTTATATTACCATTTAAAAAGAAAAGATCCTGTTCAATTCACCTCCCCCCAAAATTTAGTTCTTACTGGACATACACCTAATTATAGCAATTGCCTGGTGTTCTCAAAACAATACCCAACTTTAGCTTTTTGTGAGATATTTTTCATCCTTCTAGGAGTAGTATTTTGAACCACTTCATGGAATCACATTATCATTAATGGTGACATTATTGGGGGGGGACAGGAAGATAACTCACTCTCATGTTCCTCTTGCACAACCAGGTTCACATGGTCCACGCAAGCTTGGATGTCATTCCATGTAATGAATTCATTATTCTCTGCATGTGCCTGAGCTTTCAGTTTCATCAACTCATCAAGATACCTGCCCCAGACCCCCAAGTAAAAAGACAATTAAGCACAGCGTTTTAAAATATTCAAGAAACAAAGATTGTTAGGGTACCACTTGATATATTCTCAAGGCCAGTGCTGGAACCATGTAGTTACTTTAAATGAAGTGCAAAAATGCAACAGAAATCACTTATGCTCAATATCCTGTTACATGTACTAAATTCTACGCGAGGACTAACTCTAGAATCAAAGGCGGCAGTTCCAATGGTTCCTCTACAGACAAGAAAAAAAGGCGACACATGAGCTAACAAATGCAGAAGGAATGACAGAGGAACAAATCCTCATTCAGCAACTTTTACTGAAGGTATTGACTTAGGAAAGATTAACAGTTGGGTTAAAAATATTAGGTGAATGCTTAATGGAGAACTGGATATTCTGATGGTGCAAAAGAGATGATGTGCTAGTGATGAAGAAAAAATGTAAAAACGCAATGGAGGTATTAAGTGGTCTCCCTAATCCAGGGATCAATCTTAGTATCTCTAATGGTGGGAAAAATGGGTTTTATATGCCTATTGGTAAGAGGCAATATGAAATACATATCACCAAAAATGTTGAACTGAATTGTGACAAGCCTGTAGGTCTAATTTCCAATTTACAGGAATAAGATGAATATGAGAAAGCAACTAGAACTATCCATACAATAGGATGCCTTATATGGTCATTGGTCCCATCCCTTTAACAAGTCGGTGTCATGAAGATAGGGACAATTCTAGATTAAAAGATACCCAAGGGACACAACAGCCAGATATAATACATGTTCCTAGGCTTGATCCTGTTTTCCACAGAACAGCTATAAAGGACAGTTTGGGAACAACTGAAGAATGAAAATGAACTAGGTAGGGTTAGATGACATTTAAGAAGTTATTATCAACTTTGTCAAAGAGTGTTATTTTGGCTATGTAACATTTCAGTAACTCTACTTATATATGTAGGAATGGAATGTCATGATATTTTTCAGCATAACAAAGAAATAAATGAATCAAAGTAGAACCAAACAAAAGTATGACCATAATAAAGTCGTAATGCCCGGAAAGAAAATAGGAGCGCTGACATACAAAATACAGAGGTAACAGCTCTGTACTAGATTCATTCCCTGCACTCTGGGCACCCACCTCTGACAGTTTTCTCCCTCAATATTGGTAAGGCCAGTAACTGAACTGCTCAACTGCTTCCACACTGTGTTCATGTCTCCTGATTCCAATGCCCTGTTGATGAGGGCCACTGATGACAACATCTCCACTGCGACAGAGAGCTCTGGGTGGGTGAGATTATGCTGTACGGAAAGGAACAGAAGGGAAAACAGTGAGGAAAGACATTCTCCAATACCAAGGGAATTATAAGTTTAATAAAACCATAGGGAAACCAAGTTTCTGCAAAAAAGTTCTACCTAACCACACAAAGAAGTGGGTATTACATTCACTTCTACCCAATTTTGCTCACAAACAGGACAGGTTCAGTGAACTCACTTCAGGACTCTGTTGCTGCAGGGTAGCCAGCTCCTTCTGATAGAGATCAGCGGCAAATGGATACACCTGGGGCAGCTGGGCTTCGGGGTTCATCAGTTCCAAAACAGTCTTCTCAGCAACACCCTTCTGGATGGCAGCATTAATTGCTGCTACTGCTGCCAATCCTGCGTAGAAAACAGGAGTCAGAAACACAGCAGCTTAGAGAGTCCTCAGGAGAAGAAGGGGCCAATATTCATGGGAAAAAATTACATCCTGTGGCTATCAGCCATAAAGTTTGAAGTGAAACTTTCACCTTTAAAAAAGCAGCCTCCTTTGTATGAAGAAGGGTGACCTGTATAGTACGTGGACCATAACGCAATAAAGATGTTTTTTTCAAAAAGCAGCCCGCTAACTGTTCTCATCCCTATTTTCTTCCCATTCAATTCATCCTATATGCTACCACTACTTCCCACATAAACCATCTCTTCCTTCTCCTACTGCCTGGCTTCTTAAACTACCAAAGCTTTCTACAATCTTTCCACCCCTTGATCTTACACAACTCAACCCATAACATTTACAAAATCTGTATTGTAACCACCTTTCCTTAAAGATGTTTTCCACCACCTGTACCTCTGCTCCCACCTCCTTTTTCCCTCTTTGTCCTGCACTAGAAACGTTCTTCTCTTTCACCTTTCATCATCCAAATCTTAGCAATCCCTTGTCTCACCTCCTCTAGATAGTTCCCTAATCAACCATCAATAAAGTGAGCCTATATTGACTCCGGTTCTACTTTTAAAACTGGAGTAACTCTGGCAAAACAACAACAACAACAACAACAGCAAGAACAAAAAAGCCACATAGACCAATGGAACAGAATAGAGAACTCAGAGATAAAGCCATGCATTTACAGTCAACTCATTTTTCAACAAAGGGACCAAGACCCCATATTAGGGAAAAGACAGTGCTATGGTTTGGATTCGGTTTGTGTGTCCCCACCAAATTGCATGTTGCAATTTGATCCCTGACATCATCCTGAGGGTATGAAAAAAAAAAAAGTAGAAACTTGATCCCCAGTGTGGTGGTGTTGGGAGGCAGGGCCTAGTGGGAGCTGGTTGGGTCATGAGAACAAATGTCTCATCAATGGCTTCATGTCATTCTCATGTTAGTGAGCTCTTGCAAGATTGGATTGGTTCTTGGGGAGAATGGAAGGGGCTGTTACAAAGCCAGGACCCCCACTGACTACACCACCCCCGCATCAGTCCCTCTTCACATGAGTCCACCCGACCTTTGATCTTCTCCACCATGTTTTGATGCAGCACAAAAGCCCTCGCCAGAAGCAGATGCTGGTGCCTTGTTTCTTGTACAGCCTGCAGAGCTGTAAGCTAATAAATTACCCCGCCTCAAGTATTCCTTTATAGCAACATAAACTGGGCTGAGACAGACAGTCTCTTCAACAAATGGTGTTGAGAAAACTGGATAACTATACGCAGAAGAATAAAGCTAGATCCCTATCTCTCATCATAAACAAAAATAAATCAAAATAAACTGAAGACTTAAATCTAAGACCTGAACTCTGAAACACTGGAAGAAAACATTGGGGCAATGCTTCAGGACACTGGTCTGAGCAAAGCCTTTTAGCTAATAGCCTGAAAGCACAAACAATGAAAGCAAAAATAGACAAACGGGACAAAAACAGACAAGCTAAAAAGCTGCTTCACAGCAAAGGAAACAACAAAGTGAAGAGACAACATACAAAATGGAAGAAAATATCTGCAAACAATCCATCTGAAAAGAGAATAATAACCAGAATATATAAGAAATTCAAACAATAGCAAAAAAACCCCCACAAATAATCCAATTTTAAAATGGGTAAATAAGGTGAATAGACTTATCAAAACAAGACATACAAGTGGACAACAGGTATATGAAAAAATGCTAGACATCATTAATCATCAGGGAAATACACAACAAAACCACAGTGAGATATCTTCTCACTCCAATTAAGATGGCTTTTATCAAAGACAAACCATAACAAATGCTAGCAAGGCTGTAGAGAAAGGGGAATGCTCATACACTGTTGACGGGAATGTAAATTACTGTAGCCACTATGGGAAACAGTATGGAGGGTCCCCCAAAAATTAAAACTATGTATGATCCAGCAATCCCATTGCTAGGTATACGGCCAAAAGAAAGGAAATAAACACTCCTATGTTGACTGCAGCTGTATTCACAATAGCCAAGATATGAAATCAACCTAACTGTCTATCAATGAATAAATGGTAAAGAAAATGTAGTGTATATACATGATGGAATTTATTCAGCCATAATAAAAGAATAAAATCCTGTCACCTGCAGCAATGTGGATGAAACTGGAGGTCATGATGTTAAGTGAAATAAGCCAGAGACAGAAAGGCAAATATCTCCTGATCTCACTCATATATGGGAGCTAAAAAAAGTGGATCTCATAGAGGTAGAGTTGACTGGTGGTTCCCAGAAGCTGGGAAGGGTAGTGGGGAGGAGATAAGAGAGGTTTGTTAAAGGGTACCAAATTGCCAGTAGATACAAGGAAAAGGTCTAGTGTTTGATAGTACAGTAGGATGACAATAGTTAATAGTAATGTATAGTTCAAAACAGAAGAATTGGAATGTTCCCAATATCAACAAAAGACAAATGTGTTAGGTGATAGATATTCCAATTACCCTGATTTGATCACTACACATTGTATGCACACATCGAAATATCATACAGCAGTGCTTCCTGGTTGGTTTTAAAAAAATGGGGTGCAGAGGGAGGGGAGGGTAGGGAGGGATAACATGGGGAGAAATGACAGATATAGTATGCACCTAAAGTTAAATAAATTTTAAAAAAAACAACAAATAAAACCACACACATGTACCCTCAAAATATGTACAACTATCATATATCAACTAAAACCACAACGACAACTAACTGGAGGAACTTTCTTGCCCCCAAAAGTACCTGGAAGTTGGTTACGGCTAGTAGGCTCAGGGTGGGGGATAAGGGTGACAGAAGCTAACCTCCGACCTTTCCATACCACAAAGCCACAACTTTTCTCCCATACTATGTCAATGGACTCGTACTTCTCTGATACTCCTGGGCAGCACTGTTTGCAGCATCCACTCCAGACTGCAGCTCCTCCTTCTGCAGGGGGTCAGCCTGACCACTCTGAGAAAAGCAAAGAAAGTTATGTAAAGATGACTCATGCCTATGACTCCAGGCCTTAAGGTTCTCATCTCAACAGCAGTCACTAGGGAGAGAACCACAGACCTAAGTGACAGCTCAGGCTACATGCAGCCAAGGTGGCAGCCCCAGCTAGAGCCAAAACCCTCTGCCAAAGCTAGGGTGAGTGACTTTACAGATACTAGTACATTCTTAAACATGTTACATCAAAATGCTCAAAGCGTTCTGAGGGGAAAATGTTTGTAGAATCTTAAGCACATTAATGCTACTTACTTTGATCAACGTATACTGGGTATCTGTAAAATGTATACTTGCCCTTATTTAGACAAAAAAGAAATCCCCTCATGTTTGTTCTAAAAAAAACCTCACAAAATCCCACACAATCTACCCTCTGCACAGTAAGTACTTTTCCAGGCTGGCCAGAGCAAACTAACAAGGTATGGTTTTGTTTTTTTTAAGTGAAAATTCCTGACAGAAGAATACAAAAAAATTCAGGTTTTTCCCAAGGTCTTTTAGTTGGAGACAGAGAGAGACAGTTGAAGTGAAGGAGTGGTTAGACTGGGGATGGGAGGGTATTGTTCGTTTATTGTAAAGGAGAATTCATAGCTCTAAAAGCAAAAGGGAGCAGAAGACAATGTGTATTTTACCTGAGGAACTTTTAAAAACTAATTTATATGCAGAGGAAAAAACTATATTAGGGAAAACAAAAAGGCAGCATGTATGTCTTTAAATGATAGCATGGATTCGAATGGATATATACAAACCCTTGCAGCTGCAACCCAGACTGTTTACCTGTCTCTTCTGCTGTTTATCACTGAGGAGCTGCTTCAAGTACCAGTCACTGTTCTGTTGCTGCAGTCCTCGAAGACCTAGGGCTGGTGACTGCAGAGCCTTGAACAAGGCCAGTGCAACTCCTTGCTCTAAAGCCAGGTCGATATTTGCTAATGCAGAAAATGCTGAGGAAAAAAGGCAAAAGATTATGAAAGGACTATGTTAACATAACAGCCTAAAAATAGTTTTCCTTCCCCAAAACCCATCTCAGTTCCAGATAAGGAAATGTAACTCAGAGAGCCTTTACTCTGTGGTTCTCAGAAGCGTAGATCTTGGGATTGGAAAAGAACCTTAGAGTCAATCTAGTCCAGGGGTTCCCAATAAGCTGTTAATTGGATTTCACACAGAGTCCTGGACCACACTGCCCGCATACTTAAGAACTTCCAGCTGTAGGCAGCTCAACACCAATATGGGTAGCAATATAGGAGCCACCAATCCAGACCAACATGATGCTTAAATTCCCTCTAGAATACCACATAGTTGTCCGGATTATGCTTACAGACTACCAAAGAGGAGAAAGTATGTCCCATGGCCATTTACTACATCTTTGGACAATTTTGTTGTAAAAATATATATATATATAAAATATATGTATATATTTTGTATATACGTATATTTATTATATATACATTTTTTACATATTTAATATTAAATGTGTAAAAAAATCTATGTGTATATGTATATATTTATATAAAATATATATTTTTTGAGATGGAGTCTCGCTCTGTGGCCCAGGCTGGAATACACTGGTGTGATATTGGCTCACTGCAACCTCCGCTTCCCAGGTTATAGCAATTCTCCTGCCTCAGCCTCCTCAGTAGCTGGAATTACAGGCCCTGCCACCACATCTGGCTAATTTTCGTACTTCTAGTAGAGAAAGGATTTCAACACGTTGGTCAGGCTGGTCTGAAACTCCTAACCTCGTGATCTGCCTGCCTCTGCCTCCCAAAGTGCTGAGATTACAGGCGTGAACTACCACGCCCAGCCTGTTAAAAAAATATTTTTAAAGCTCCAACCCTAAAGTTCACACTGAATACATTCAACTGTCCCTCCCTATGAGAGCAAATGCCTTACTAACAGCCTTCTTTCCTTTAACCACTTCTCATAAAGCATCATTTTGAATCCTCTCATCACCCTGATATTTTCTGAACGCACTCCACCCACAACAGTCAGTGCCCAGATACCAAGAGTGGTCCAACCTGTGCAGAGTGGAAGGGGCCATCTTCCCTCTCTCCACATTCTCTCTTCTAATCATAGAACCTGAGGTCACACAAACTCTATAATACATTACATGACAATGAAAACCCAGATGTTCCTTCATCTGAAAATGATAATGACGATGTCTTCCCTCACAGGAATATTTTTAAGATTAAATAAAATCATATACATAAAAGCATTTTATATATTGCTTTTTTTTTTTTTTTTAAAAAAAAAAGGTATTATTAGCCTGAAAGTCAGAATAAAATAATTTCTGATTTCAGAAATGATAGCCACTAGGGAATCATAATTACTTTATTACTTTCAGTTTCCTTATTTTTCAAAGAGAAAATGTCTGTCCCCACCACCACTCACAGATAAACATCTAATTTTATCAAAGTAGCAAAAAGAAATCAAGAAAATACTAATAATCGAAGTATCTGGGAAATGGAACTAATCAATTGCAAATATTTTCATTAGTAAAAAACAAAACAAAATTAATAAGCTATTAGAAAATTAAAACAGCCCAAAGGAAAATAAAGTCTCAAACTAGAAAATGGGAAGTAGGGATAATGAGAAGACTAGAACTATTTAAAAAAAAAAAAAAAAGGAAGAAAAGGTTAAAACATTGCTAAGGATGTAAGGTCTCACTGTAGGCTCCGAAGACAGTTTATTTCTTCCTACTATTTATACCTGCCATTCAATTAACTAAGCACCATACCAAGGTGATGGCTTCTCAACCCATTTCTGCAGGTCTATATGGCTGTTAATCAACAAATCATCCATTTCTTCAATCGATATTTACTGAGGATCTGCTATAATGCTGCAAATAAAATACTGAAAAACCAAATACCCCTGTCCTCATGGAGCTTTCATAGTAGCTAAGGACAGGAAATAAAATCAATGTAGATAACAAACGACTTTCTCTAAATATATAGCATAAAATCTTACAGTGACTACAAAAGCATCCAGTAAATTTTGCTTTTTCTAGAAGTGTACATGTACTACTTAAATATGTAACTATTAAATGAGTATCTATAAACATTTATATTGCAAAGATGAAAAAGTGTGGAATGTAACTACTTCCTCTCACTGCTTTAGTTATATAACTCTAATTTTCCTTATTCTACTTAACAAAAAATAAAATTAAAACTGTTTTCATTTTTAACTGTTTGGCCTGCAGCTTTCTCCCGGGGCAGCGTCAGTGGCCTCACTGCTGTTTTTAATGCCCTAGGCAAAAAACTTACCTATAGTTACATTAATTCCTGAAACTGATACTTCCTATATCCCCCTAGCATTTAACTTTCCTTTGTCTCAGACTTTCTCTACAATTAGGAAGAGACTGCCACTTTATAGGGAATTCTGCCTTATCTTCACCCTCTTATGTATTCTAAGGATCCCTGTGAAAATCCACATACACCGAAAACCTACTCAAACCTCTAAGCAGAAGTCATCATCCCCTTCTTTATTCTGTAACTGCAAGCAGTCTTGGCACCTTGCTCTACTCAAGCTGCCTTAAAAGTACTCATTTGCATGTCTGTCCTCCCCACTATACTGAAAGGTATTTGAGGAAATTTTTATTATTTTGCTTCTCTGACTACATAAGAATAATATGAATAGAACATTTTAAGAACATATACATATTATTATTTTCTTACATGTACTCATAACTGATTCTTACAGGACTAGCAAGGAAAAACTATAAAGGTTATAAAATACCAAACAATAAAGTAGAGAAAAATCCCTTAGTAAAACAAAAAATATTTTATGTACTCTATGCGACAGGTTCAAGCGATTCTCCTGCCTCAGCTCTCCAAGTAGCTGGGACTGCAGGCGCGCATTACCATGCCTGGCTAATTTTTGTATTTGTAGTAGAGATGGGGTTTCACCATCTTGGCCAGGCTGGTCTCGAACTCCTTACCTCAGGTGATCTGCCTGCCTTGGCCTCCCAAAGTGCTAGAACTACAGATATGTAAGTGCTGGGATTACAGTCACTGTGCCTGGCCAGGAAAATAATTTTTAAAAGCATGTAATAGGGTGAAAGAGTGAAACTGTAGCCAAAAAGACTACTGTGATGCTACTGCCAGTGTACGAACAAGGTGCTGACTGAAGACAAATGATAACTAAAATGGAGACGTAGAAACACAAAAGATTGTTAATAAGCAATTATCATTAAACAAATCCAGTAATGTTTAAAATACATAAATTAAACCATATTGTAAGTCCCAGAATAGATCAACATTCACATTACATTATAATATCCCTTTAAATGCCTGGCTCAGGAACATACTTACTATTGACTTTGTTTACATTGCCTTGAATTTCAGCTTGCGTGAGCAGCTCCTCATAAACATCTCTTTCTCTCTCTGAGTTTTCTGTCTGAGGATGAGTAAAAAGTATAATTAGCATAAGGTGTCTAAGAAGACCACATAAATACACTTGTGCGCCTCCTGCTCCATAACACTACCAAGAATATGGTGTAGCTTAAGATTCTTTACAAAGAACAAAGCGCGCACAGTAGCTCGTGCCTGTAATCCCAGTGCTTTGGAAGGCCAAGGTGGGAAGACGGCTTAAGGTCAAGAGTTTTAGATCAGCTTGGGCAATACAGTGAGACCACATCTCTAAAAAAAATTTTTTTTAATTAGCCCAGTGTGGTGGCACATGCCTGTAGTGCCAGCTACTCAGGAGGCTGTGACAGGAAGATTGCTTTGCCCAGAGGTTCAGGGCTACAGTGAGTTATGACTGCACCACTGCACTCCAGTCTGGGCGATGGAGCGAGACTGTCTCAAAAAAAAAAAAAAAGACAGAGTCTCACTCTGTCACCCAGGCTGGAGTGCAATGGTGCGATTTTGGCTTACTACAACCTCCATCTCCTGGGTTCATGAATTTCTCTTGCCTCAGTCTCCTGAGTAGCTGGGACTATAGGCGCGTACCACCAGGCCCAGTTAATTTTTTTGTATTTTTAGTAGAGACAGGGTTTTACCCTTTTGGCCAGGCTGGTCTCAAACTCCTAACCTCAAGCGATCTGCTCACCTTGGCCTCCCTAAGTGCTGGGATTGCAGGCAGCATATCCTTGCCTCAGAACTGAGCAAAAATGGGTACATACAGATTTACAATTTTGGAGTCTCACTGGTGATGCAGGCAGGGACATGGCAGCAGCTACTTGCCTGCAGGCCAGTTTGGCACCTAACTGGGAAACTGAAATCCCTGCTCTATCATAGAGATACAAAAAATGTTCTGAGAGCAGGGTTGTCTTCGTTTTGCCATCAGCCACCAATTTTAACAATGAGTAAATAAATTTGTGTGAACTATTTATTTACTTATTTATTTATTTATGAGAGAGTCTTGCTCTGTTGCCTGGCTGGTACAATCTTGGCTCACTGCAGCCTCTGCCTCCTGGGTTCAAGCGATTCTCCTGCCTCAGCCTCCCCAGTAGCTGGAATTCCAGACGCCCACCACATTGCCTGGCTAATTTTTGGACTTTTAGTACAGACGGGATTTCACCATGTTGGCCAGGCTGGTCTCAAACCGCTGACCTCAGGTGATCCACCTGCCTCGGCATCCCAAAGTCCTGGAATTATAGGCATGAGCCACCATGTCCAGCCTGTGTGAAGTCTTAAATGAGATTCTTAGATTCAGTTTTTCCAAGTAAGAATCACTTAACTAACTTCCACATATCCATAACAATTATACACAAATATTTTACCCCAGAGAATCTGGGAAAGAGGAAGCAATATGTTAATATTTAGAAATAATTTTTCCAGAGGGCACTATTAATTTTAATGGCTATACTCTAGAATTTGATTTACATAAAATTGAAGAAGTAGAGGTAAAATAGAATCTCATACCAAAAGATTACAAACTGCATCATTTCATTTGTATAAAATTCTCGAAATGGTAAATGGCAGCACCAGAAAACAGACTGGTAGTTGCCTGGGCTCAGGGGTGTGGGTGACTGACTGCAGAAGTGCACTAAGGAACTTTTTGGGGTGATGGTTAAATGATCACATATATTAGTCAAAACTCAAAACTGTACACTTAAAATTCGATGAATTTTGTTGTATGTAAATCATATCTCAATAAAATTGATGTTTACAATAGAGCCATATCAAATGATGGAATAATATAAATTAATTAGAATAGATGTTACATTTTTACCCTGTTTTTAGCATTTGTCATTTTGTCCTGCTTAGCCTGGTAAAGTACATCCTGGTAGGTGGATGCCAAGGGCTCGTCAAGATTTACAAGCATGGCATTGGGATTTTTCAAAGCTGCAAACGTGTCGGCTGGCATTCTACGGTCAATAGCTTCATTAATAGCAATAACAGCAGCATGTACTAAAAAACAAAAACAAACAAACAAAAAAAAACAATAAAAACACCAAGATTATACAGAGTAAAGGCCGTATACTACAATAGAAAGCAACATTGCACCCCCCTATTACAGAGGCTCCTTTTCACAGAGAAATAATGACCAGGGTTCGAAGACTGGCTTCCTGGGTACTATGAACCTAGCCTCTTCCTTATGGTACGCAAAGCCACAGCTCCATCTGCAATCCATGTTTGGGATGCTGAATTTGGAATTTCACAGATAAATATTCATAAGAGAGTCTTGCAAGGAGCACTTGCTATGGAGTTATTTGCCTAAATTACAAAGTAAACACCATAAAACAATAAGAAACTCAATGAGCCATGGAAATGTAGGACTTCCTTTTTAAATGCTTTCATTTTAATCAGAATTAATCACGTGTTTCCAACTAACAATAGCATGGAAGATTCTGTGTTTACAACTACATCTACGGACTTAAACTTGCTAGCAAGATTCATAACTTCCTAGATCATCATTACAGAATTAATTATTGGAAATGGTAGTAACAATCCCAGTTGAACCCATGAGATTTCTCTCTTCTTACATGCAGCTTCGTCCACTGAGAGTTCATTAGCCAGGATGCCCCCAATCTTGCTAAAGGCAGGCATCTGGATGCCATACTTCTCCAACTCAGTCTTCATGTTGTTGATTTCTTCTTCTACAGGAGGGAATTAATACCCAATCAATGAAGTTAAGCACCTTTCCAGAACCAAGAGAAGGAAACACATTCCTCAACTATGAAATGGGATCAAATGGCATTTACCTTTTAGGGTTTTATAAGGATATAAAGATATAATGTAAGGAAAGCACTTGACACAGTAACTGGTATATAAAATTCAGTCCAACTTTATTATTATATCAAGGGCATCAAAAATAGCTATAAAGTGCGAAGGCTCTACAGGAAATAGTTTTTCAAAATGGCTACATATGGCATTTCCTACAACGAACCTATGAGTGGAACAGCTTTAATGTGAGCTCAAAAATAAAAGAATCACAAACCAAGTTATCTCAGTCTTTACAATCCAAATCATTAGCTGCTATTCAACAACTTCATTTCTAAGGCAGAAAGCCAAATGATAAAGAAAACATGTAAGGTTTGGTCTTTGCCCCAGGTCTAGCGAATAACTTCCCTGGAAGGAAAAATATCATGGACAAAAACTTTCTTACCAATTTTTAAATCTCCAGGCCTACAAAATTATCACCACTTTGAAAGACTTGAATCTAACTTACCCTTAAACAATATTACCACTGCCGTTTACTTCCCAACACCTCATCTCTTCAAGCATCTGGCTATAGCAAATACATATAGAAACACCCACCCAAATAAGCTTAAAATTTAAAATTACTAAATTTCCATCTTTGTGTCATCTCATTCCCCACTCTCCCTCTTGCTTTGCCCACAACAGATGCTTGCTGGAAGGGGAAGGGAAAGATAGTTATAAAGCTTTTTTCAACATACCTGAACTTTCAATGTTACTTGTTAATATTATTACATGTTTTACATATGTTAATGTTATCCCCAATTTATATATAAGAAAACTGAGACTCATTAATTATGTTCACCTTGTAAGTGAGAGAACAGAGCTTGAAATTCCAAGTTTAGTCTTCTTTGACCCACATTAGAGAAGCAAGTTATGCATATTTCTTTCACCTTCATTGCCAGAGTATTTTTAAAGCTCTAGGTCTTCAAAATTAGTACTGCTGGCTCCCAGGCTACTTCCACACAAGTCAAGCATTTACGGCCAAATCTGTAGCGCCTTACCTGTGAAGTCAACCTTTCCATACAGGTCTTGAATTTGAGGGGCCAGGCCTAGCTTGAACAGGTACAAACTAGAAGATACAATATGCAAAAGGTTAGGCCTCCCAGCTGTACCTAGCTGCCACCCTTAAAAAGGGAAAATCAGCATGAAGAATAGAAGCGTTCTGAACACTGAGACTCCAGTATCTACAATAGCCTCCTCTGTAGTTATAATAATACTAAAATACTCAGAGCCTTTTTTTTCAGTTTTAGATGACAACATTGTCCTAAAAAGTCACACAACACAATGCAAAGAACATTGGATTGGGAGAAATCAGCAAGCATAAATTCAAGTTCCAGTTTCGGCATAAATTCAATGTATAATTAAATGTTAACAGCTGGGCACGGTAGCTCACACCTGTAATCCCAGCACTTTGGGAGGCTGAGGTGGGCAGATCACCTGAGGTCAGGAGTTCGAGACCAGCCTGGCCAACAGGGCAAAACCCTGTCTCTACTAAAAATACAAAAATTAGCCAGGCATGGTGGCATGTGCCTATAATCCCAGCTACTTGGGAGGCTGAGGCAGAAGAATCACTTGAACCCAGGAGGCGGAGGTTGCAATGAGCCGAGATTGCACCACTGCACTCCAGCCTGGGTGATACAACAAGACTCCAACTCAAAAACAAACAAACAAAAGATGTTAACATTAATGTTAATATAATTAATAGTGAAGTCTCTTTGTTTGCTTCGATAGGTTTTAAATAACAAGACATTTTAGAAAAGATTCATCAAAATGATGCAGATGGTAATCTTACTTAAACTGAATTCATATTACTGATGGAAAAGTTTAATCCAGGTAATAGTTTTTGATAAAGAATGTTTTATATATTTTTACTTTTTAAAGTATCAGGTTGGTAAAAAATATTTTTACCTTTTAAATTAAAAAAAAAAATCAAATAGACTCTAAGCTCCATGAAAGCAGTCACAGTACAGGGCTCATTCACTAATGTCTACCCAGAGACTAGCATATATTAACAAACATTAATCAATATTTCAAAGATGGATGGATGGACAAATTAATGTCCATAAGCCTGTGTTAACGTGGATTCTAAAGCCCTAGCATATCAGAACCAATACTTTAGAAGAGAACAGAAGGGCACTTTACAGATACTGACACAAGCAAGACAATGACAGTTTTAAAGTAAACGGGGAAATAATGTATAAAAAACAAATCACAGAAACTTACAGTGGTATACCAATATTGTAAATAATCTATACACCTCAATATCATCTAAATACCAACATGTATCATGTACACTGCAATCTCAGAACTGTTCAGAATTTAAATTGCACAAAATAAACCCAAATGTAGAATAGAAAAACAAAAAACACATAAAGTATTCTCAAAACAAATAAGCATTTATACCTCCACAGCAGCTAATCATCTTCTCAGAGAAGTGTAAGTATAAATTACATGTACATGATTAAATGCTTTTCTTTCAGGTAAAACACTCAAGATAGATACATAAAGTTTCTTTCTCAGAAGATTTTAAATGTATTCAAAAAATTCTCCAGACTGGGTATAGCAGCTCATGCCTATAATTCCAGTACTTTGAGAAAGAGAGACAGGAGGATCACTTGAGGTCAGAAATTCAAAACCAGCTCGAACATAGCAAGACCTTGTCTGCACAAAAAAAATTTTTTTAATTAGCCAGGTATGGTGGTACATGCCTGTAGTCTTAGCTATTTACGAGGCTAAGGCAGGGGGATAGCTTGTGCCTGGGAGGTTTAGGTTACACTGAGCTAAGATCACACTTCTGTGCTCCAGCCTAGGCAAAAGAGTAAGAATCTGCCTCTTTAAAAAAAAAAATTCCAAAGCAAAATAACTAGTAACTTTCTACACTTGCAATACATTCTTTTATATGTTTTTCCCACTAATACACCACACCTGCATTTTTAATTGTGAGAATATTTTTCTCCAAGAATTTCCTCCTCATTTATTCCTACTTGGAAATAGGGAACAAGAAATTTTAAGAAAGTTCAAGAATGTTACTGATATGGTTTGGGTCTGTGTCCCTATCCCAATCTCATGTCAAACTGTAATCCCCAGTGTTGGAAGTGAGGTCTGGTAAGAGATGACTGGATCATGGGGACGGATTTCCCCTTTAGTGCTGTTCTCATAACAGTGAGTCACCGCTAGATCTGGTTGTTTAGAAGTATGTAGATCCTTCACACCTCTCTCTTTTACTCCTGCCATGTGAGATGTGACTGCTTCTTCTTTGCCTTCTGCTGTGATTGTAAGTTTCCTGAGGTCTCCCCAGCCATGCTTCCTGTATAGGCTGTGGAACCTTGAGCCAATTAAACCTCTTTTCTTTATGAATTACCTAGTCTCAGCTATTTATAGCAGTACGAGAACAGACTAATAGAGTTGCTTTCACAGTACCAAGAACACTGAATTAGCTTTTAATGTCTTTCAATGGTAAATTAAAAGTGCTACAACCATATCACTGGCTGGTATGAAAAGTAAACATGAGCACCATCTTTAACTCTCTTTAACTATTACAAGTATTTTATGAAGATACTGGAGTTATGAATGGATTAAAAAATGGCCAGTTAAATCCTCTTATCCACAATCAAAAGTACTTAGCTTCACACTGAAACTGATAAACCCTAATGTTAAACAGCACTTCCCAATCATTGCTCCTGCCTACTTCTACAAATACACCATTAGGTACCTATAACAGGTCAGCCTGTAAGTGAACTTAGATTTCTTTTTCTTATTTCCTACTTAAGGTGTACTTTGTAGCAATGGGTAGAAGAAAGCTGTGTAACCTACCTGGATTTGAATTATCTTTTCTGTGAATGGTAATCTAGAAGTCACTATGCCAATCTCAAAGATTATTAATAAAGACCCTGAAACACAGCAGGTGATCAGGAAACAGAATCTACTAGCAGTCCATACTCCCTTATCCAAATTCTCAGGGCCAGATATGTTTGAATGTTGAATTTCTCAGATATAAGAAAGTGTATTTCTATTTACAGTGTACACGGTTTTATAAAGTATCCCCAGCAAGCCCTGGGGCAGCATCCTCAACACAATACGTTACCATCTGTAGAGAAACACACAAACATAATCATACTAAGGAGACAAATAAGCCTACATTAAACTTAAAATCAGTTTTCAGAGAGTTTAGGGTTTTAATTTAGGATAAAAGATTATGGACCTGTTTAACCGCAAAATCAGTTCTCAGAATAACAAAACAGGGGAAACAGACAGTATACAAATATTTTGAGAATAATGGAAAACTGGGGTCTTATCTGAGTGGAATGTTATCTACAAAGGTAATTCAGTATGACTAAAGTACAGTGACTATCTCTGGAATAATGCCAATCAAGACTGGGGTTGGGGGTGGGGGAGGGAAGGCAAGCAGGGAGGAGATAGGTAATGTTTTTCTGTCACTGTTGATCCAAAGGGAGATGGAGCCTTATCCAATACAGTGAGGTGAGGAACCTACTTTGAACATAGTTGTGTTTTGGGGTAAAAGAAGAGACTCTCAGCAATTATAAATACTTCCTACATATTATCAAATGTTACCAATCCACCCTTAAGGAAAAAAAACATAAAACAGAAACCGTGAGTCACAAAACACACTGCTCTCTATATACCTTCTAAGCACAGGCTGCATATTCAAGAGAAATGGAAAACGATAGTGGACTTCCTCTCGTTCTCATTCTGATTCTACCACTAGGAAGGCATAATTAATTCCTTAGCCTCTACTTCAGAGAATTTGAGGGCCTGGGACCCAAGTTACACTACAGAGAGTAGTGGCTACACAACTAGCAGAGAGGAATTCTGCCTGCACATTCAGATATCGGTGGTAGGTCCAGCCTTCAGAAGATTATCAACATAGACAAATCTCCAAACACAATACTCAGAATTAATCTGATCTGGACTCAGACATACATAATTGTTTTTTAGAGACAGAGTCTTCCTCTGTCGCCCAGGCTGGAGTGCAGGGGCACAATCATAGCTCACTGCAGCCTCAAACTCCTGGACTTAAGTAATCCCCCAACCTTAGCCTCCAGAGTAGCTAGGACTACAGGTGTGTGTCACCATGCCCAGCTAATTTTTTATTTCTTGTAGAAATGGGGTCTCGCTATGTTGCCCAAGATGGTCTCAAATTCCTGGCTTCAAGCAATCCTTCCACCTTGGTCTCCCAAAAGCACTGGGATTACAGGTATGAGCCACTGTAACCCAGCCTCAGACACATATTTGAAATTGCTACATTCTGAACACGAGATCCACTAGTTCTTAACTGTATTCATCCTTTTATATGTTTCACACTGATTCCAGTGATACCATGGATCTAAAACGTTTGATCAAGAAACTGGAGACAATAGTCTTCCCATAGATCAATATTATATGCCTACTCCAATGTAATTAACATCTAGTAAGCACACACACAGGATGCCATATAAGAAGTGCAGCCCAAACCAAAATCTCACTCATGTCCCACCTGCTCTGCCATCTTCTCTAGTCCTAAGGCCATTAAATGCATTTGCTAAAATACTACACTACTGTACCACAAGTTGAATATACCAAATCTGAAAATCCAAAATCTAAAAATTTTTGAGCACCAACATGACCCTCAAAGGAAATGCTAATTGGACCATTTTGCATTTCAGATATGGCATGCTCAACTGGTAAGTATAATGCAAATACTTCAAAATCGCAAACACTTCTGGTACTGGGCAGTTCACATAAGGAATTCTCAACCTGTATAAGTATCTACTCCTATCCCATCCCACCTTCCTTCCAGACTTGTATCTTTTCCTTCCAATTTAATTTAGGATTCTGAGGACCTGAACTTAAGTCACATTCCAAATTTACCATAACATTGTGGGGAAAAAAAATGTATTTCATTTCACTTCCTACTATCATGTTTGTGTTGGTATAAAAATTATTGAATGAACAAACAAATGGCTTAACAATGGCAAGGACCTAGATACTAAAAAGACACTGTACCCTAAGTGAATGCATAGTTCACAGAAACACTAGATCAATTATGAAAGATCATACCATGTTTTTAGAACAAAATTATCTGCTATTAAGTAAATAAATCCCTTCTTCATACTCCCTAGAAAAACACAGCTGTTTCTCACTGTTTTGTTAGGATAATAGTATTTTATCCTATTTGAAACTTTTTAAGCTAAAGAAAAAACTTTTTCATTCTTACCTCAAGGATAAAAAACTACACATTCAATTCAGATGTTATTCATAATTTACTGATTTTGTCAAGAAAATTTGATTACCTGAGTGCATGGATACAGTAGATACATCTTGGCATGTTCTTTCGATCATAGATATCTGTAGTTTCTGGGTAAAAAATCTAGGAAGAAATAAAAGAAATAGAGTAAGGTATCCATACACTTTGTTCATTTGACCTTCACTATTCATCAACAATACAAATCAAACTATGGACAGTTAGAAAACATCACTGGCATTCAGCAAATGACTTCATTAGGGTGAACAGACATTTCATCATAAGATTGCAAGGAATAAAATGCTATAACACAGAATAAGAAGTACTACCTGGAAAACTTCTATTTGGTCAACCTACTAAATTTCATTAGGTGTGGGAAGGTGACTTACTTATTTCAGACACAGATACAGGCATATAAATACAAGTTCTAGTCCAGCTGAAATCACTGGGTTGATCTGAGTATGAGGCTTTCAGAATCACAATGTTCCTAGTTACTATCTACCACCATGCCTAGATGGAGAAACAACTCAACAATGAACATTTACTAAGTGCTTTAGTTTGTGCAACCTGCTGTGTTTTAGAGATTGAAAAAACCATAAAATATTTAAATGTGTTATAATGTTTGGGAGAAATGGGAAGCTACCCAGATGGAGTAGCTAGAATGGAGTATGTATAAGGGAATTTGGAAGACAAGTACTTTTCCATGGTAGCACTTACCAAAATCAATCATTTGTGTTCATCTGTTTGGCTTCTCCAACAGACTATAAGCCACATGAAGGCAGGGCTAGATCTACGTTATTCACTGTCATATCTTCACTACCAAGCCCAGAGCCAGGGTCATGGAAACTCTGTATTTGATGAGTTAATGAATGAGGCAGGATAGGAACAGAGTAGATTTAGACTGGAAATAGCCCTGAATTTTAAGACTTCTCACAGTCATATGGCACCATACAATTCAATCTGTAATTTTGGGAAATAAGGGGCAGCAGTGGTTTGGAGAAGCAAAAAACTGAATAATAAGGTGAGAAGAATCTAGATAAGCAATAAAGACCTATACTAAGACTGTGAAATAACAAACTAAAGAAATGAGTGAATCATGACAGAAAGCAAAAGAAGGTCTTCTAAACAAGAGAAACAGCCAGAACAAATAAAGCAGAAATAATCATGAAGACTTTGTGAGACAGTAAGGTAATATACCCTATTGTTTTTTAAAATCTACAGAATACATTCTAGAAAGTAATAGAAAAATAAGGTTGGATAGGTAGGATAAAATCATATTATTACGAGCACCTTGAAAGTCAGACAAGTTTGAACTTTGTAAGTAGGACATAAAGAAGTATCCTAGCTTTGGAACTAAGGATAAAAATAGAGCCCTGGGAAGATGCGACTGGAGATGGGACATAGGATATGTTGAATAATGGGAGACTGGAGTTGGGGAGGTAGGCTGGGAGGCTGCTCTAACAGTAGATGGATAAAAAGAGATATTTCAAATAAATGGAGAAGGCTTAGGGCATGACTGGATTTAGAAGTTCAAGGTATCTGCAAGGTTTTGAGACGATGACTGGGAAATGATGATATGACATCATTTATTATAGAAGAAGGGAAGTTCACTTGGGGAAAAGTAGATTTAGTTTTGGATATGAAAAAGTCTAAGTGACAGAAAGCTATCCAAAGAGAAATGTCCAGCAGCCAACTGAGGATACTATGTTTATTTTGTATCAGCAAGTCTTGAGAATAACTGAAACCATGAAAAAAGGAAAATGTATCTAACAACAATTGCATCTTAAACAATGTCCATCCCTAGGAAGTAGAAGGTAGAATAATTAAAGAAAACAGGACTAGTTGAGCAGATTAAAAACACTTTTTTTTTTTTTTTATTAAAAACACTTTTTAAAAAATCAAACTAAGAAATATCTCCGGGAAAAGACAGCCACACAGTACCATTTATGATAGTCAAAAAGGATAAGAACCAAAAAATTACTGCATTAAGTTTCTATAATAGGCCAGCATGTACCATATAAAGAGATCAGAAAAGACATCCCAATAAACACCATATATGTATTGTCAATTACGTATTATATATTATGGACAACAATACAGTTTCAGGTTATCATTGGTTCCTAATACTTAGAAGTCTTCTGGGCCTAAATGAAGGGTGGACAATTCAAGGCTTATAGCCATGATTATCAAGTTGTCCCTGGAAGCCTTTAATAAATTCTGTTTGTCACAACTCTAGTCCAGGACAATATGCTACTGTTAGTAAATTAAAAAAAAAAAAAAAAAGTAATAAAATTACATCATTAAAAAAGCATCTTGTAGTAACAACACTACTAGCAACTGCAAATATTAACAAAGGTCTTAGTGCCATTCCAAAGACGTTAAATTGTCACTGTCCACTGGTAATATACTACATAAAAATCAGGAACAGGAAGTTACAGGTGCACAGTTTAACATTTTACACTGTATAGCACAGTATTTTATACTATACTAAAAAACAGGAAAAGGAAGTTACAGATGCACCGACAGCCAAGCAGCTATAAGAACTTGACGTATTGCATTTCCTGATTATTTGTGGAGCCTAATTCTCAAGCATGCCAGTAGCAATGAAGAGAGCTTCGGCACTTTCTCTGAATAAAAAGAGGACAAAAGCTAGTCTTCTGCAAAGACTCAGCTCTAATTTAACTCAATTCAACAAATATGTATGCAACAATATATATCTGTTGTATACTGTATACATATTGGTATATGATATATATACAATATATAATTGTATATATTATAATTATATATTATATATAACAGATTTATACAACATACCTATCTGCATACATTTATATACTGCACAAAATATAAATGTATACTTGTACAAAATATAAAATAGTTCTAGCCACCTTCTGATATTCTATATCTCACTTTTTTTTTAATAACAAATTTTCCTTTGGTTACAAAAATTTGAACCCTACAGGAAAGTATAAGAAAAATAAAAACTATGCTTAATCCCATCACACAGAAATGAAAACCGTTATCTCCTTACAAATTTTTCCCAAAAACATGCATTTATTTTTACACAAAAATAGTGATCTTAGCCAGAACATAAACCCTTATAACCTTAAACTGTCTTTCCCCACTTAATACATCAAAGACCCTTTGTTTATTTAGGTTGATATCCTTTTTGACGGCACTAGTATTTGGCTGTAATGTAATTAATACCCCTCGTGAAAAAACAGCACTTTGCTATCAATTTTTTCTATCATAATCAATGCTAAAAAATCCTTATATATATATAAGGATTTATATATATATATATATATATATATATATATATATATATATATATTTTTTTTTTTTGGTGGTTTCTGATTATTTATTTGGGATAACTTCCCAGAAATACAATTCTTAGGTCAAAAGATACAAACAGAAAGAAAAAAACAGAGAAAGAACAAAAGACAATGAAATCAATTCATTCATGCCTGTAAGAGTGACAATACAGTGTGGCAGTTATAGATTCAGGCAGTCCTGAGATGGCAATTTCACTGAAAGCAACACTAAATAAACTCCTGAGCAAAATCCCCAGAAGATGTACACTCTGTATCAAAACTGCAGCCATGACCAATAACAGATACAGGAAGTAAACATCATTCTATCGCCTCTACAATTTAAAATATAAAATGAAAATAAATAAATAAATAATATAAAATATAAAATGAGCCTTCATACTTCCTACAGGTTTCTAAACTATTTCCTTATATTCCCAAAGGTCAAATTTTAATGTTACCAACTTTGTGAATAAATAAAAACCACTACTTTGGTATTCTTTAAAATGGTGAATCTCACAGCATGTGAATTCTATCTAGGGAAAAACAGTAAAATGTAAGTCTACAATTTGATGTAGTAAAAGTAGATATCATCATAGGAAATTTATCTAGGGTAAAGTGAAACAGGTATGAGGAATATAAAAGAAAAAGAACAAAACTGTTTCCTAAGTCAAAAATAAAGACATCCTTTAGTATTTAAGAAAACCACCAAAGATTTTGAGAATAATTTTACAGGTTTCAAGAATGACAGCAGGTTGTTTGGGGGTTATTCTAAAACAGTTGGAACAAAGCCTAAACTGTTAATCTCAGATATGTTACCTTAGGCAATCCAATCTCATCCATGGCATTCAACCACTGAATCACATTATCAGTGTGTCTGAAGTGCAGGCCAGTTGCCTAGAAGAAAAAAAAACTTATTAGGTACCACTGGCTGTACTGAAGCAAATATTAAATAAAAACTCTCCTTGCAAAAGCTTCCTCATGAGATTTGACAAGGTCTCCTTAATTTTGAGGTCATTGTGCTCACATTCCAATACCAAAAAGCCAAATCCACATCTCAGCTCTTCTCACTTAGGAACCCCCTAGAGAGCCTTCCTGTGTACAGTATGCTTGACAGAAAATGTGGTCTTTCGAGTTAAATTATCTTGGATTCAATTACTGGCTTGGTAATCTACGGTGACACTGGATAAGCCACTTCATCCTTTAGGGACAGAGTTTTACCATCTAGAACGGCTGCTTTTTATGTATAGAGACTAAGTGAGATAACGCACATAAAGTAATTAGTATGGTGTCTGAACACAGAAGATATTCACAAAATGGTATATCAAAATATCACACTGGGCACAGTAGCTCATTCCTGTAATCCCAGCACTTTGGGAGGCCAAGGTGGACGGGTCATCTGAGGTCAGGAGTTAGAGACCAGCATGGCCAACGTGGTGAAACCCGGTCTCCACTAAAAGTACAAAAATTAGGCAGGGCGCAGTGGCTCAAGCCTGTAATCCCAGCATTTTGGGAGGCTGAGGCGGGTGGATCACGAGGTCAAGAGATCGAAACCATCCTGGTCAACATGGTGAAACCCTGTCTCTACTAAAAATACTAAAAATTAGCTGGGCATGGTGGCACGTGCCTGTAATCCCAGCTACTCAGGAGGCTGAGGTAGGAGAATTGCCTGAACCCAGGAGGCGGAGGTTGCGGTGAGCCGAGATCGTGCCACTGCACTCCAGCCTGGGTAACAAGAGCGAAACGCTGTCTCAAAAAAAAAAAAAAAAAAAATTCATCTTCAACTAGGAAAATTTCTAGATATATAACATCATAAGAATTCTATCAAAAACACAGACAGCTAAAGTTCTTTCCTAGTATATCTTTTTTTGTGGCGGGGGGGCTTTCCAGACTAATTCTAAAAGAGATATAATATTATTTTCCTATTGCATATTGCCTTTGCACAAATGTCTCCATTCTGCCAGGCATTGTAAAGGCTATACTTCATTCAAACAAACACACCTTACGCATATTTCTCAACAACTCTTACACAAAATAAAGCATACTAATTTTCTCAAGCTGACAGAAATCTAAGCCCTAAGCAGGGAGGGACTCACCTTGTATCTGGTCTGTTCTCGATCATAGATTTTTTTCAGGGACACCACTTTGGGAGAGAAGAAGTTCCCCAGTTTGGCGAGATAGACCCCATTCCTTAGCCCCTCCTCCAGTTCTGTGGTAGGGGGCAGATCTTCCCCGAGGCACGCTTCCATCCATCTGCACAAAAGGAGAGAGGATGTGAAAAAAATAGGGAAAGTCAGAACTTTTCCTTAGAGATTTTAAGCTTCACTTCCATTCTCCCTGGAGAAGCTTAAGTTGAACATAACAGTACTCTTTTACAATCAGTTCCACATACATCTTTGCCCTGGCCCAGTCAGATCTCAGAGGCAGGAACTTAGGAAAATTACTGAGCACGAATGCCACTTTCTTCTCCACCCAGCTTTCCTCTGCTCCAGCAACACAGCCAGCTGCCTCCCCAGACCCTGACTGCTCCCTGCACCTCAGACCCTTTCCCTCAGTCCTTAAGTTACGCTTTAACAAATCCTAAGAAAGACCATTTGTAACAGAAGCCACATCTCAACTGTTTAGAAGCTTAAATTTGTTGCTGATATTCTTTTCCAGATTCAGAACTCAGAATCCACAGTGAATTTCTAGGTCCAGGTTTTAAGGTTGTTTTGAGTTTATTAAAACAGACTCAATTATCACAGCTAAAATACTAAAAGCTATAGAATCAGTAAATAATGAATTCTTAGATTTCTGGAGGCAGGGAGGAGGTTGTAGAAAGGATCGGAAAACTATTTTCCAAAAAGAAAAACAAAGAATAAAATTTAAAAAAGAAAGCTGTATTTTCCCCTTCAAATACCTCTCAGGAAATTTCAAGAAAGCCTAAGATAAAAAAAAAAAAAAAAGACAGTTTAGTTACATGTATTTTCTACCAGCAGAAACACAGGTAATAGTAATGGCTTTCTTTTCTTTTTCATTTCTTTTTTCTTTTCTTTCTTCTTTTTTTTTTTTTGAGACATAGTCTCACTCTATTGCCCAGGCTAGAGTGCAGTGGCGCGATCTCAGCTCACTGCAACCTCCACCTCCCAGGTTCAAGTGATTCTCCTGCCCCAGCCTTCTGAGTAGCTGGGACTTCAGGCATGCACCATGCCCAGATAATTTTTGTATTTTTAGTAGAGACGGGGTTCTGTCATGTTGGCCAGGCTAATCTCAAACTCCTGACCTCAACTGATCCACCTGCCTCAGCCTCTCAAAGTGCTAGGATTACAGGCCTGAGTCACTGCGCCCAGCCCATGGCAACAGTTTTCAACCATAGAATCCTGTGAATATCTAAGGAAAGCTACAGACCCTTCCCCAGAAAAATATACATATACTTAAATTTTACATATAATTTCAGAGATATTATTGACTTTATAAACCCCAGATTTAAAACTCCTAATTTAAAATTATTCCACTCAATTTTTTTTTTTTTTTTTTTTTTTTTTTGAGATGGAGTTTCGCTCTTGTTACCCAGGCTGGAGTGCAATGGCGCGATCTCGGCTCACCGCAACCTCCGCCTCCTGGGTTCAGGCAATTCTCCTGCCTCAGCCTCCTGAGTAGCTGGGATTACAGGCACGCACCACCATGCCCAGCTATTTTTTTTGTATTTTTAGTAGAGACGGGGTTTCACCATGTTGACCAAGATGGTCTCGATCTCTTGACCTTGTGATCCACCCGCCTCGGCCTCCCAAAGTGCTGGGATTACAGGCTTGAGCCACCGCGCCCGGCCAATTTTTTTTTTTTTTTTTAGTTTTCATTTTATTTTTGTATCTTCAACTGAAACATCCAGGTATTTTTTAAGCTTTTTTTTAAGACGGAGTCTCACTCTGCTGCCAGTCTGGAGTGCAATGGCACAATCTCAACTCACTGCAACCTCTGCCTCCTGGGTTTAAGCAATTCTGCTGCCTCGGCCTCCCAAGTAGCTGGGATTATAGGCACCCGCCACAGTGCCCAGCTAATTTTCGTGTTTTTAGTAGAGTCAGGGTTTCACCATGTTGGCCAGGCTAGTCTCGAACTCCTGACCTCCGGTGATCCACCCCCGCTAAGCCTCCCAAATTGCTAGGATTACAGGGATGAACCACCATGCACAGTCTATTCCACTCAAATTTCACAAGGCTGACATTATCCTTACATTCTTTACCATACAGAAAAAAAAAATCTCCCAAACACTAGATGTTGCCTGGTCTTTTTCAAAGTGATAAATCTTTGAAAAGCCTCATGATACAGCAGACTGAAGTAAAAATCAGATTTACTGACAAATAAAAATGAAATATTTATGTTTATTACTACAAAGAAGTTTAAATTAAAGGCCAGGTGCAGTGGCTCATGACTGTAATCTCAGCACTTTGGGAGGCCAAGGCGGGCGGATCACCTGAGGTCAGGAGTCCAAGACCAGCATGGACAACATGATAAAACCCCGTCTCTACTAAAAATACAAAAAAAAGTCGGGTGTGGTGATGGGCACCTGTAATCCCAGCTACTTGGGAAGCTGAGGCAGGAGAATCGCTTGAACTCAGGAGGTGGAGGCTGCAGTGAGCCGAGGTCGCGCCACTGCACCCCAGCCTGGGCACAACAGAGCAAGACTCTATCTCAAAAAAAAAAAAAAGTTTAAATTAAAAGGCAAATAAAGCTGGAGGAACTATCTATCTGAATATGCCATACACACAGACATATGTATCCACAAAAACGCATAAGACACTAACATATCAATAAAAATGTAGGCCAAATAATATGTAAATTGTATTTATCACGTTTATGTGTTTTTACATATTCTTTATAGTAATAAAATTGCTGGAAAGATGAGACTATAGAATGTATGTTTATCAAACTTTATAATTCAGAATAAAATTTCTTGTATTCTATCTTTTCAAACTGAGAATACACCTCAGAATCTTTTTTTTTTTTTTTTTTTTTTTTTTTTGAGACGGAGTTTCGCTCTTGTTACCCAGGCTAGAGTGCAATGGCGCGATCTCGGCTCACCGCAACCTCCGCCTCCTGGGTTCAGGCAATTCTCCTGCCTCAGCCTCCTGAGTAGCTGGGATTACAGGCACGTGCCACCATGCCCAGCTAATTTTTTGTTTTTTTTAGTAGAGACGGGTTTTCACCATGTTGACCAGGTTGGTCTTGATCTCTTGACCTCGTGATCCACCCGCCTCAGCCTCCCAAAGTGCTGGGATTACAGGCTTGAGCCACCGCGCCCGGCTAGAATCTTTTTTTTTTAAAATAAAACAAGGTGAAGCAACAATTACCCTATTTTTCTCAAATTCTATAGAATAGTCACTCAATCTTGCTTTTATTTATTCAATTTTGAGATGGAATTTCACTCTTGTTGCCCCAGCTGGAGTGCAATGGCGCAATCTCAGCTCACTTCAACTTTCACCTCCCTGGTTGAAGCGATTCTCCTGCCTCAGCCACCCAGGTAGCAGGGATTACAGGCACCCGCCACTGTGCCCACTTCCATGCCTGGCTAATTTTTTGTATTTTTAATAGAGTTGGGGTTTCATCAGATAGGTCAGGCTGTTCTCGAACTCCTGACCTCAGCTGACCCACCTGCCTTGACCTCCCAAAGTGCTGGGGTTACAGAAGTGAGCCACCGCTCCCACCTCAATCTTGCTTTTAAATCTACTCTTCTTTTTAAACAGCCAGCATATTCACTAACACATGAAGGCTGATGGGGATATGAATGGGCCAGATAATTTTCTGATTGTTTCCTATACTCAGTGATAAGCTTCTCTGCTTGGTTTTCTTTCTTTCAAGTAGCAGAACTTAAATGGTCAGAAACGGGAAAAAATGAAACAAATGAGTTTTCCAGAAGAGTTATCATAATAATTTAAACTAGATACCAATTTGAAATGGCTACAAAAATCTAAACTATAACTCTATTGAACCTAAAGACTCAAAGACCAATGCAGAAAAGAATGGTAGTTGTTGGTATGGAAAATAGTGTAGTTCAAGGACACATCTCATCTTTTTACTACTGAAAAGGATACTGATAAAATCATTCTGGCAAACAACTACTGGCAACTCCAGCTCTCAGGGGACAATCTAACTTGGGCTCTCATTAACAGGGACAAAGTGAACAACTACAGCCTAAGCCAAAAATGGCCCTCAAGCATATAATAGTATCAAAAAAAAAAAAAAGTTACTTATTTTTCTTTTTAAAATGAAGTAAACACATAGGGAAAACTATGGATACAGAGCACAACAGATACCTTTGCCTTGAATCAGAGCCAGTTACCAGAGGTGTTTAGTTTTTCCTCTTTTCTGGGATTTCTAGACTAAAATAAAAATAAAAAGAGAGACAATGGTGACATTGCCCACAATTCTTTTTATTTCCTTCCCCTAATCCAACAGCTATAAAACAGTCCTGACTTAGATGTTTCCGATAGCTAAGTAGAATATGTTTCATCTAACACAGGTGTCATGTCAGAGAAGAAAGGTCAACTGTGATTTGGTGAAAGCGATTAAGTAGAAAGAATGAGCTAGAATAAATATGGAGGCAAAATACAGTGTTTCTAAACAACTGCTCCAAACTGAAGCCGCCCTCCAAGTCACCATACATGTGGCTTGCCCACCAATCTGAACTATTTCACAATGGAGTATCACCTGGTTTGTTTATAAGAATAAAACAGGTCGGGTGCAGTGGCTCATGCATCTATCTCAGCACTTTGGGAGGCCGAGGCAGGCAGATCACAAGGTCAAGTGATCGAGACCATCCTAGCCAACATGGTGAAACCCTGTCTTTACTAAAATATACAAAAATTAGCTGGGCGTGGTGGTGCGCACCTGTAATCCAAGCTACTTGGGAGGCTGAGACAGAAGATCACTTGAACTCGGGAGGCAGAGATTGTTGTCAGCCAAGATCATGCCACTGCACTCCTGCCTGGCGACAGAGCGAGACTCGGTCTCAAAAAAAAAAAAAAAAAAAAAGAATAAAATAAGTCAGTACCAGGCAGGATGAGGTGGCTTACACCTGTAATCCCAGCACTTTGGGAGGTAAAGGCAGGCCAATCACTTGAGGTCAGGAATTCAAGACCATCCCGGACAACATGGTGAAAACCCATCTCTACTAAAAATACAAAAATTAGCCAGTATGGTGGCATGCACCTATAGTCCCAGATACTTGGTAGGCTGAGAGGAGGATCACTTGAATCTGGGAGGTAGAAGCTGCATTG